ACCTGAGCTCTGAATGCCTCTGATCTCGAGCCTACAAGCCAATGCGGCCCATTGGCCTGAGAAGCAAGGCTGAATGCAGGCGCCCTTCTCATGCTGTCGGGCAAGGCTTTGCACAAGTGGGTTGTAGACTTCTGCACTCGAACTGGCCTACCTTACTCCAAGGGCCACTTCAAGCTAGTACGAGGGCAGGAAGAAGGTCATTTCAAGGTAACAAAATGATTGCTGTAAGGTTCCTACAAGGATACGATACCTCTATTTTGAGGTTCCTTACTAAAACTAAAACTATAATATAATGGGCCCCAAAACCCTCTTCTAATTCTTCTTACCCGGAAAGCACGCACACCCCTTCAGAGCCTTCGAGTCTGCTTTGGACCCAGCAGGCGACCTTAGATGCGAGGTTCTCTCGAGATTGGGTTGCTTGGAGGTTCATGGGTAGTAGTTGTAAGTGGGGTTAGAAGTCCTGGGTTGAGGGTTTAGACTTTAGCCTTTTGGGGTCTTTGGGGGCCAGAAGGCGGTTCAAGATTGACTGCTGGCTTTGGCTTTGGATTTGGCACTGGCTGGGTCAAAGGCGCATAGTTTACGGGAGCAAAATCGACTGATCCAGCTTCCTGGTCAACTGCCTTCAACTTAGGGTTTAGGATTCGGGTTTAGGGTTTAGGGTTTAGGGTTTAGAATTTAGGGTTGAGGGTTTAGGGTTTACAATTTAGGGTTGAGGGTTTACGGTTTAGGGTTTAGGGTTTAGGGTGTAAGGTTTAGGGTTTAGGGTTTAGAACCCTGTTGAGAACCCAGCTTTCCCAAACAAGAAGGGTCACAGGGCTCACAGCAAGCAAATCCACCGTTTAGGCTTGTCCAAGAGTGAACATGACGTGGAGACTCACTGAAGCCTTGCTATACTACACTGTTCTACATTCCACTGTACTAGACTCTATTGTATTGTATTCTATGCCATTCTATTCTATTACTTTATGTTGTATAACATTATATTCTACTACCCTGAACCCTAAACCCTAAACCCTAAACCCTAAACCCTAAACCCTAAACCCTAAACCCTAAACTATATCAATTAGGAGAGAATCCAGAAATTCCCCTGCGCCACAGGAAGACGCGGCAGATGGCGCCAGACTGTGGGGCCCCCGCTTGGAGCCAGGTTGGCCGACGACTGACGCGGGGGCGCTGCTGTGCTTTGGGGCTTTTGGCCGAGGGTTTAGGGTTTAGGGTTTAGGGTTTAGGGTTTAGGGTTTAGGCCCTCCTTTTCCCCCTGCCTGTTAGGTTAGGCCGTACGGCAGGGTTGGCTGAGGCTGTCGCGGTAGGGTTGAGGGTTTAGGCTGCTATGAAGGAAGGGAAGCGGCGGAGGCGGGGGGAGGCGGGTAAGTGAAGACTTTCCAGGCAGCTTGGGCTTGACAGTGGTGGTCCCGGCATGAGCGGGAAAAGGGGTGCCACAAACGTCCCCCAATAGAAGTCAGCATGCAGAGGCAAGCTGGAGAAATATAGACAGCAGAGTAGAACGCGAATCGGCAGGTGGACGCCAGAAGCATGTGGGAGTTTCCGACAATAGGGGGTCCTTATTTTGGGGTCCTTATAATAGGGATCCTACTATTTAGGGTGCTATATCAGGGTCCCCTATTTTCTGAAACCCCCATGCTTCATCCAAGAGATGCCGCTGGTTGAAGAGACAACCTTGAACCGGAAAGAAAGGAGATTCATACTTCTGGGCTTCAGTCAGGACTCGATCTCCACCCCCAAGCTACCAAGCTACGGCTGTTTAGGGTTTAGGGTTTAGGGTTTAGGGTTTAGGGTTTACTGCTACTAGCCGGAGGCACCTGAATTTGCCTTCGCACGCCTGGGAGAAGAGGACGCAGAGTTGCCTGCAACAGACGCGTGGCGGTTTGGCATCTTGGCATCTCGGGGTCTTCAGGAGCCTTTCGGGGGCCGGGAACAGACAGCCCAAGGTGAAACTCTAGATTGGTGGTTTAGGGTTTAGGGTTCAGGGTTTAGGGTGCTTCCGGCTTGTGTCTGCGAGCTCTGTGACTTATGCTTGGGCAGAGTCCCGACCATTCCATTCTTGGCCAGAACCCAAACAAGAAGTCCAAACCCCTCCGCTCAAACCAAAAGGAGGCAAGCAGTCCTGAGCTCTTGCTCTTGCTCTTTTCCTTCTTTGCCTTCTTGTTCTCCTTGGTGTCTTTGCTCTCCTGGCTTCAAGGAATATAACACAAGACACAGACTCAGACTGTCGAGACACTGCTGCGGTGCCTCCGGCTGCCCGTCCGCCTGCACTGTGGCTGATGCTTTGAAGTTGCTTCGATGCGATGCTTCGGGGTACTTCGAAGAAGTCGTGCAGTTTTTGTGGGTATCTGTGGCCAGGAGTGCAGCTTGAAAGCGTTCCTTGGGCAAGAGTTCGAGCTTTGTGCAAGATGCGTCTTGACAGCTTCGACTTGCG